CAATCTGCCGGGCGGATTCGACCGCATAATCAGATATTTGATCGAACTGAGGGTGGAATATTCAAATCGTGAATTATCCAAATTGGGTACTGGGTAAAATCTACTAATGTCTGACTAACAGTCACTGATCGAAATTGGCCCTCAATAGAACTTCCAAGAAAAAGAGCCCAGAAATGTGCTTGGGTACTCTGAAATCATTAGTGAAGCTACAAAGTATGCAAAGGCAGATCAAAAAATGGTGCAAAGCCTCCTTGAAATGACGAGTCCCTCCTTTAAAGGATCCTCTGAAGGATGTCCGATGACATTGCGGGGAAGCATACTCCAGATGTTCACAATGACTGGTAGGAAGCTCCTGTCATAATCCAGCTGGGTCTGGGCTCTTCTTGTGCCAGGAGAGAGGGTATGCTGTAGGGAAAAGGGATGCAAGGCTCCGGCAGAATGATGTGCTTGACGACAGTTGTTAGGAAATGACAGCACGTACATGATGCAGACTTCTCAACAGTATTGGGCATGAGTCCAAGTGCATTTCATTGATACTTGCCATGGCACTGACAACAACCTTATGAAAAAGGGGCCGAACATTATATACAACTCCATATCACTGAATACCTAACTGAAAGAAGGGCCCAATGCTAAAACACCCTTTTTTGAGTTCAAAAAAATAATCAACATTTTTTGAAGGAGTTGCAAAGGAAATCCATTAACTCTCCTAGGCCAAAATGACGCAGTTGGGCCTTTCTTTCAATGAGGTATTCAATTACTTACACTGCTTTGAGACACATATGCTAACAAGAGTCTTGCCAGACAATCAGACAACTTTCTACTGAGGCACAAATTGGTGGAGAAGGGTGTTGCAACATCCTTCTCCAGTTGTTCTTCACAACAAAAAATACAGCATGAACAGTGTCACCCGAGCCTGAAGCTTTCATGGAGCTGACGAGCAGAAGACGCCTCTTGGCAGGTTTTTTGTGTGAAGCCAAAATGAGCAGGAATCAGCGTCAGGTAGTGTTATTCTGCACAGTGCTTCAAGGGGTAACCTGTTTTTACTGCGCATATTTTCTGTGCTCGGTGACTCTGAGAAATCCCCCTGCCTAGGCGCGCCTCCTTCCCAACATGATCTTCAAACCCGCATTTGGGGGTAAGAAGGAAGGAGGTTCGGGGCTTTATTCTTGAGCTATGTTTAGTATCTCTTCTGGTAATTCAGCATAAAGCCTAGGCTGCACAATAATCATCTTGAAAGAAAAGATGATCAGCTTTGGAAGTGCAGCGGTTTGACGAATGCACAATTGTACGCCGACTAATTTTATCGCATTGTGGCCAAAAAGCCAGAGAACTTGCTCATTAGGCCCAAATTGCCTGTTCATCCCCCAACTCATTACTCACGGTACCACCAACACAAAAAAAAAGAAAAAAAAAAAAAAGAAATGAGGTCCTGGGGGCCGTGTGAAATTGAACCCCTTCCACTCATTAGAGGGTAATCCCTCACAAGCCCTGACCCATTTTCGTGCTAATCATGCCCCTTCCACAGCCAGGCATATCAATGCCCCCTCACATCCCCTTCAGATCCCAGACAATGGAACAGGTGTTTCTCATTTGCAATATTGTCACCGTTCCCTCATCCCTCCCTCCTCCCCCCCCCTGTGGAATTCTTAATGGCAGGTGCACAATGAGTATGACCCAAATGCATCTTGGCAAGTCATCGATTAATCATTGATCACTGCAGTGTGAATGAACTTGGGCGGGCTGTGTTGTCTGTGGGATGGTGGAGAAAGCTGAGTATTTTTAGTTACTTATTGTAGTCTTGCATAAGATTACAGCCAGGACGTACAGGCATCGATCAGATGGTACGAGGAATCCGCTAGAGGGTGGGGCCAGACCGCTGAAACCCATCATCCCGGCAGGGAGCCATTTGGGAACTCCCATAATGCCCTGCTCTAGGGAACTTTGAGAGACGGTTGATGGGATTCCAGGGGGATTTAGATAAGTTAAGCTGGCAGAGGCGGAGCGATATTCACGCCAATACTGATTGTGCGGTTGACAGAATCAATCATCGAGAGGATTCTGGAGTGGGTGACTAAAGACAAAAGGGATGAGGAACTGACAAGACAAAGATGGGAAGACTCCAGAGATCACAGAAGGGTCCCTAGCTATGCTGGCACTGCTGTCGAGAAGCTAAAAGGATCACAACTTCACCTGCATTCACACTGTATGACCAATATAACTGATCTCTCAGGTGATTCACAGTCACTCTGACAAATTAGGAAAACCCACCAAGTTGCTTGGCCATTTCAATGTGGCATGCATGAACCATGCAGTTATGATTTTGTAATTTCCCAGTGGCAGAAACATTTCAGCACTGCATTGTTTGCACTAATCTGTGGGCAAATGTCAATTTTGAGACTTTCTTTTCATGGCAAAATTAAGTTTTAAGAATGCTCTTATGAACATGAACCATTAGTCAGTACACCATAAACCAAGCCTACTTCAAGTCTGGCTCTTGAAGCATCATTTTTTGGTCCATCAGAAATACATAGCAGTGTTATTCTTCAATAAGAATGCAAGCAGTTACAGAACGCAGAGCAACTTTGCCCTCATTTGTACAGAGCGACCAGGAAATAGAAAGGTTCCCAAAGAAATCTAAAAGCCAAATTCCTTGACTTTTCTAAGACTTTTCCAGGACTAAAATAGGACCATTTCCATGACATTTAATGCCATTCTCAGATCTGGACTCCCTGCTCAGGTAAAGCACCCAACCCTACGATCAGGTTTTCCTTACTCATTCTCTTCCCTCTCTGAACAAAGAAACACCTCGGTGCGTCCATCTGGGATGATGGTTCCCCTGTGTTTCCCTCCACATGCCATTAGTCATTCTCCGGCAAATCATGAAATCAATCAGTGTGCATTGATTGGGAATGACAAATCATTTGGAAGACGACATATTCACACTTTCCCATGCTGGGACGCCTGAGCCTGTCTATTATTGATACCTTGTCCCCCACTCTCCAATGTCTCAAGTTATGCACACCTGTAGAAACAGGTGCTTGCATTGAACAAACTATTGACAGCTAAAAAAACAGAAACATAGCTCCTTTTACTAAAAGCCCCCTCAAAGTTCTATTTAACTTTCTTTTATTTAAAAGCCTCATGATTCTAATACGTTAAAAACAGTCACACAATCAGGATGTAAGCTACTGTACACAAAACATTATGCGGTATTATGATTTTTAACCGACTGACGCTGAATGACGTGTAAACACACACAATATTCCTTATTTGTTCCACGGAGGACATGTACACTCATTTAAGACTTTCTTTTTTCATTTCTGCAGTTGAAGTATTATTGCGTTGTGCTTGGTTGCATCATAAATAAATTGCAAGTTCAAAGAATTTGTAAGGCGGTGCCGAATATCCCATTACTCAATCGATTATCGAATTTTCAAATACAATTTTCCGCATTCGAATGGAAAATTAATAAAAAGAAAGGAAGAATTTTCTTGTTTTAAATGAGAAAAATCGCACAGTGGAGGCTTGTTTCAAGCAGATTGAAATGAAAAGCAACAGAATAATACATGTACATCCTACGATTCAAAACGTAAATTCATTAAAAAATTCAAAAGGAACAGAAACTGTCAACAGGGCAAGAAGTATTGTTCCTCTCTTCAATTTTGCTTAATCATGGCCCAAGATAGTCCTAACAGTGAGAAGCATAGTGATTATATGGTACAGATGAGTGCATTTTTGCAACTGATTTCATAATGGTTTGTCGGTGCAACCGAATATCCAGATATTCGATTGAATTGAAGGTCGAATATTCGAGTAGTGACTTATTAGAATTGACTCAGCCCTAAGAATTTGCAGGGAAAAAAACTGCCCCCAGCAGCTTTTTTGGGTAAGAAAATCTGAGGTTAACCGGTTATTGCATGAAACAAAAAAATCTGCTGATCCAGAGAAAGAAATATCTAAAACTCAAGTAGGGTAGAGAAATGATACACCTCATTCCACTCTGTTCTTTTTCTAATAATCGAAACTTCCCCCACAGGAGGCAGATTGATTCACTTTGAAGGTGAAACAGCCCCTAAAACGCTTTTCCTGGAAATTGTTTACAAAAAGAGAAACTGAAAAACAATCGCACGATGCCGATACCCAAAATGTGTAAAAACGGAAGGAGACATTTCCATACTGTTTCTTGACATGTTTCTCTGCACTAGTGTCATGAATGTAAGACCACGATGAGCTGACGGCAAGGAAGGAACAACAACTTGACCACAAACCAATTAATTGTGCGTTTGGCACTTGTCTGTCAGCAATGTGGAACCAACATACCGGTAGGGACAAATTCGCTTCTTGCAATACATATTAAGGCCGGAGAAATATTTGCATTTGGGAGGTAAATGGGGATAGAACGAGACAGGAACAAACAAGAGGAATTGACAGGATGAGCAAATACCAAAGCTGATACTGGAGATGGATTGGCATTTCTATTAAACCGGGGCAAATACAGTTCTTAGAAGAGACACTCTAATATCGCGACGAGTGGGGGAAAAAAATATCAACAGATTTGCTGGTTCCACACCATTCTACAAACGAAAATTTAAAAAATGATTGAATGAGGAACTACGCTCAAGTTTCGCCGTGCATGTAACTTAAGCTCGCACTCTGGTTTGCAAATTGAGTGTTTTGGAGTTCAAGTTGTGGCAGAAATATACAACCACGTGACAATCCCACATCATGTTTGTATTGAAACCAAGATTTTGGCAAGACACTTGACCGAAACGATGCTCAAAACATACTACAGACTATTCCTATGGTTCCACAATCACGTGCGTGTTTGTAAACTTCGGGATGTTCTGTTGGTTGAAGAGGCACAAAACGCATCCTTATCTCCTCCGTGTGGTAATGGCCTCTTGCAGTTACACGATTGGTCAACATTTTGGGGTTCAAACTGCCACTTTGCATAATATTCACGAGAATAGACGGAAAATACATGTGCGTGCACTCACCTGATCTGCTACAGACATGGTATGCATATTTCTGGTGGTGTTTATGTGCAGGACATTAAATTTGTTGGTGTGGCAGAGGTCGTAGGCGATTCCTGTGAAGGACGTGCTACCCGTCTTGGGGACCCGGTTGTAGATGACCACAAAGTCGTCTGTGTTGGGTTTGTTGGAGATACTTGGGGTACTTCGCATGCGCCGGCTGTTGGACCTCTCTAGCGACTCCTCTGTTCGGACAGAAAATGAGGACAAAAGGATCAAGGGGGAACACCTCAGTGCACTGGTAAGAAAGCTGCGTTGAAAGTGAAACTTATTTCATTTGTGTGCACTTAAATGTAAATGGTACATCCAACAGGTTGACTGAATCCAAGGTTAACAGAGGAGAAGCCAAGCTCTTCTTACAGGAGGTAGAAGTAGGACAAGAGTTCCTAGAGAGGGACAATGTCCCCCCCTGTTCCTCCGTGTCCTCCCTCCCCCTCCCGCTATGCCACTGAAAGCATGATGGAGTTTCTGTCAGTAACTACCATTGCCCAGCTTAGTTATCGGTATATAACTTCATCAATTTCAAGCTTTTGTAATGTCAGTTCAGCTTAGCTCTGACTCCCAAGGCATTTTTGCTAGGAACCTTGCTCTGAAAATCTCCTCAACACAAGAAAGCAATGGCACACTCTTATGGGACATCAAGTTGCTGAGGTCTCCATGTGCCCTCCTCAATTCTAAAAATCTTCCACGAGTTTCGGGGGGAATTAGGGTTAATATGCATCCTACATAGTTCACACTTAAAAGTCACCGACTGAACATCTTAGACTCGTGTGCAACATCTTTTATAGGCGCTGTTTGGTCTACAACACAGCTCTTATGGCATGGAGAGCACTATCAAGGTATACAACAGGCATAAGATGGGTAGACAACTGTGTTTCAAAGAGAGGAAGTACCGTTAATACAGATATCGAATACTTGAATCACTGGCAGTAGTTATTTTCAGGATTTTCACTTATGATTGCTATGAATGCACACGATACAGGTACTCTAAGCCCCGAGGTGGACCGAGAGATGGCGCAATTTTCCTTGCTACAGCGGCTCCTTTGGTCAGAAATGCACTTCGCTGGTTCACAAACAACTACGAAGCGCATGCGCTACGGTTGCATCGCTACCAGTAAAATGAGCACTCCTGACCAATACAGCTCTTTTCAACTAATGAGGGGGTGTTTCAGCTCAAGGTTGATAATGTATGCACACATATAAGGGTCGCTGATGTTGGAAACCTGCCAACCATATGGCGTACAACAGGGAACTTGTAAACAAATAACCTGAAGACATTTACAAGGACTCCCCAAAAATCTGGAACCAATTTGAAGTCCATTTGTGGGTGGTCTTTCTTCACCTTCATCTCGTTTGTTTTTTGAAAATTTTGGGATCTTAAAAGAAAAAATGGTAAATCAATCAGCAGAGTATCAACAAATTGTTTAAAGAACTCAGAGTGCCGTTTCTATCACAAGTCCAGGTTTGCCTAAGAGCATGCCTCTTCAGAGCCATCAAACTCAGCAGAATTCCAAACTCTTCAAACTGCATCAACGACAACCACGATGGTGGGGGTCATGTATCAACCCAGCCTCCTTGTCTGAGAAACATGAGCAGCCCGTCCGACTCCAGAAGGGAGGGGGGTCAGTTGCAGATTCGGAGACGGGGAAAAACGTATTGACCAGATTTTTTTTTTTCTTCCAGAGAGGGTCTGCAACTGGGTCAGCAAATGACAGGAAACGAAGCACGGTGCACGTTTTCCAATGCTTCTCAGCGAGCACCTGGTTTCCCCCCCCCCTTCTTCCCCAAGCTCATCGGGCGTGCGAAACCCGAGACGAGACCAGATAGACTGTAGTGGGTAAACGCCCTATGATATGTGAGATTTATGTACGCAGCCAAGCATAAGGGAGGGGGGGTCCTCCGTGCTGATGTTTTTCATTATGCATGCTGTGATGGGCACTTTTTCGGTCGGCCGTGTGGTATTTTCTCATGCTTCGGATGTTGCACAAATTGGGCGAGAGCGTGTTTGAGCAGAAACGTGCGAACGGAATGCTAAAATCTAATTATACACAGACGCTCTTATTACCAACAGAAATGAGAGAAATCACACACCCAGGTTTGTGTCCTTGAATCAGAAATCAGCTCTGTACTAGAACATGTACCAATGCATGAACCCTACATCAAAGCTAAAAACAAAGTTAAAATTGAGAAAAAAATACCAAATGTATCAATGGCAAAATACCTTTTCAATTTGTCTACAATTTGTTGATGGTAAATGTAGCCATGGAGAAGTTAATGTCTCCATTAAAGAAAGCTGAATTTAATGGAATGTGTATTGCAGTCACATTCAAGTCAGAGATCTATAAGCAAAAGGCAATGCCTTGTTGTGAAGACCTCAGAATTGGGGGCCATTTGATTTAACGTGAGCAAACCAGAATACAATGAAAGGAGATCCGTCGCTGTGCATAGAAAGCTGGCCGGCTCCTACTCTGCATGAAATATTTCATGACACCAGATCAAACAATGTTGCAACTTTGAGAAGCTGAACACACTTCATCAAAGTGAATTTCACCCCAAATACATGTACATCAAATTCGCTTAGCTGTCACATCTGCCTTTTTTAATGCACAACACATCAACATCTGTAACCTTCTGTTGTCCTCATTCAATCAGGCCAGGTATCCAATGTATACCTCACAGAAAATACATCTTCCTTGCGTCTGCACAGGCTCACACAGCAAAACAGATCTGGCCTTAAGACATCTCGGTAACCTTTATTTGTCACTCACAAAAATTTAGGGATCACGAAGAAGAATGCATATTTGCTTTGGTGAAGACGGTGGTTATCTCTCAAATTTTTATCCCTGAAAATAGAGCACACAGTGGAGCCAGGAAGGCAACAGCTGTTGTCTCTTGCTTAGGGGTCTCAATTACAAGACGCCAGGGTAATGATACATGTCTGTGTCACAGTGGCTCCAGCAGATGCCCTAATAATGGGGCGAAATTACAACCCTGCATCTTCAGACTATTTTTGTCTCCAAGATCTGCTCAAATTTCAGGGTACCAAACCAACCGGAGACAAAACTTACTGCCCGATCACTATTGGATTGGCCGATGAAACGCTACTAATATTTGGGAGCATGAAGAAAGTTTTGCTCAGCAGAAATCCGGGTTAGCAATCGCGTGATGTGTATTTGGTTTCGATTGTGACATCTAGCACATTGGCACTGTACAGGCAATTTCATACAGAAGCATGTTTCCTACGGATGTAGCCCCTACATGAATACCACCTTTTTTACTAGCCCTAACCCAGTAGGGCGTATGTAAAATCATATTGAAATCAGACAGAGGATTTGGGACTGTTAGGGCTATTATCTGAATAAATGACAGGATGTCACTGTCAACACTACTTTGGGCCAGGCAATGCATTTCACTGACTGTTGGCAACTGAGGTGGCTGTCAAGTTCAATCTCTTCAAATATCTATATCTGCCCTCAGCTGAATCTCTCTCTGCTCCCAAACGGCCGGACACTGCAGGTGGTTGCACAGTGCACTGAAAAACACATGCGCATCTACCAGCATTTATAGGGAAGGCTTCCGGGCAACAGGAACTGCGTGACTAATGTACAGTACAGTGTAACTGACCCACTGTCACTGCAGAGACAGGTGGTGTACTGGTATCAAGGACCTTGATCCACCAAGGAACTGTACACAACTGGTTCCAAGTTCACTGACCAGGCCTTAGGCCAGTGGCAGCTCCAAATGGACCCCCATCAGACATACATAGGTCATTTACTTTTAACTTCACAGTTAAATCCCTTCTAGGTTGTGTAGTGTACGTGTTTCTCATGCATTACTTTCTAAACTCAACAAGCATACATCTCTGGATAATTTACAGATTTGTACAATCATTCCTGCTGTTGAAGTTCTTAGATTACAACAGTGGCAGATCTGCAAGCGACAGGGTTTTCATCTGTCCAGGGTGTGTGTTAGTCCAGGGTGTGTCTTGGCTTTCAATAACCAAAAGTTGTTTCAATCGTTGCTCACTGTTGTGTGAATTGCAAAGTTTTCTTCAAAGTCATTAATTAAACTATGATGCACTTTTATGGTTCATCAATGTCCAAATGCATCATGCATGATATTCCATGAGAGAAACCAAAAAAGAGGCAGCACACAAAGGCTCCGGATGCATCTGCGATTTCCCTGACCAGTTCCTGATATTTTTTCATTCTCTCCTTCTTCTTTGCTTGAGATGGGTTTTGTGGCCTTAAAAATATCCCAAGGGAGAACCATGTGGGAGAAAAATGATAACTTCTGGAAAGCAGCATATAGAGACATGCACGTATATATGTAAATGCAGCCTGGTCTGTCACGGAACAGCGGGCATGCTGGGGCTCTCAATGTTCATGGCCTAGGGGACAGATGAACAAGCCTTGCTGTCACAAGCTTCCAGAGAGTTCTGCCCTCCAAAAAGGCCCGCTGTCACAATAGACCCAGTCACGAAAAGCAGTCCAGACAGATTAAACAAAAACACAATGAGTCAGCCCTCTATTGTGTTGCTGTTATCCCCGAAGTGGAGTCTTCCCCCTGCGTCATCCCAATGATCACTTCGCTTCATTCTCCCTTCCTGTCCGTTCCCACCCCAGCCTTCAAACAGTCCCTCCGAACATCTCAGCCTCTCACAGTGCCTGTCCGTGTGTGACACCACACTCCAATAGGGCAGATCCCAATTAACACCCGGGTCCCGTTAACAGGGAATGCCTCCCCTCCCCCCTCCCTCTGCAAATTATCTTGGACGTACCAGAACATGGAACATGTCTTGCCGAGTTTTGCGTCGCCTCGATCCATGCGAGGACTTGGTCACATTTCATTATCCCCTGTCCTTTGTCGGTGGGCTTGCCGGCAACTCACTTTTATTGCTCTATTAGTCATTGTGCTGTTCTCCCAACCCTGCCGACATCATTCCCCCCCCCCTTTTCCTCTTGCAGGCATCATTGGTGATCACGATCGTGGTCACTTCACGACAGAAAAAAATCCTGGCTGATACTTTGCCTCCGGCTACATCCACCTCGATTCCAAATGAGGGTTTTCAGAACACATGTATTGTAGAACTCTTTAGGATTTCTTTATCATCAATGCATTTGGGCGGGCATTCAGAATTCGCGATTCAAGCAATGAGATAACACCGATGAATGGCATCAACGCA